AGATAAATATGAATACTGCATGCACATTCATCAAGAAAGCATTTACTGTGCACCTACTATGTACCTAGCATAAGAGTGGAAGTTTGAGGACTATGGAGGAAGATATCAAACAGAACTTAAGACCTCCTGGCTGTTCTGTTCCAACTCATACACTTTCTTTGCTTAGAAGTCATTTTGCTGTAGCTACTTGGGATTAGTCTGTTCCCCTTCCTTTTCCCTCTTTCTGCCATAAAGAAGGTTCATATAGAGCCTGAACTAATGAGATGGGGATAGAAAGAAGGGTCACAGAAAGTGTTTACAAGTAGTAGCTAAACACTTCAGCAGTTTGCGTAGATATAAAACAGAGAGAGTACTGCCTCCAAGAAGAAATTGTCTTTGCAATTTTGTCACTGATCGCAAAGAAGCCGGCTGTTTCTTTCGCCCATGCCAACTCTGGCATGCCTCCCTTTCTTTTCTCCTTCCTTTCTCTAATAAACTTTGTTTGAAAACTTAGGAAAAAATAAACCTTAGACCCCAGTCCAAAAGCACAGGTCATACATTCACCCATTTATCAGGGCTGCACAGTGATACATGCTTCAGGAGGGTGTCAGAGGTTTTGAGAAGCCACCAGAAACTACCATCACCGAGAAGAGTGCAGAGGGATGGGTCTTCACTCTCCCTCCACCCTTTATCCAGAGAAGCCTTCTTTGATGTATTTCATTTGTTTATACTTTCACAACAGCTATTTTTGAACAGAGTTTTTTCTGTAAATTTCTTAATTTCTGTTTGTAAAAATAAAAGTAGACCTTATTTTACTCTTTCTTTTTTCATAGATTCCTTCAGGCTCTGGAAGAAAGACTATAAATGGAATTCATTCACTGGAATGAGGGATCTGAGGGTTCTTACTGGTAGAACTGAGGCAATTATTAACCTCTCTGTGCTTGGCTTTCAGAACTGCAGAAAAGTATAACAACTTTTATATTGGCATCTTTGTAAAGATGATGAATTTGAAACAGCTGTTAAAGCACCGGCTTCAATTTCACCTTGAAAGTGAAATACCAATGTTAAGTAATGAAAAGAACCATCTCTTAAAATGCCTTGTGCATGTTTCTATCAACTACTGCATTTACTGAGATTAATGAGTGTATCCGTCTATTGGCTCGACTAATTTGCAATAAAAGAATGTAATCGTCAGTAGACACACAGGAGAATTATCTGGTTTGCTGGGCAGGCATACACAAAGAAGGGATGAGGAATGAATGATCTATAACTACACACAAAAACAGCCATATGTCTCACAAACATAATGCTGAGTGAAAGAAGTCAGACATAGAAGAGCACATGCTGAATGATTCCATTTATAAAAAGTTCAAAATAGGCAAAACTAATCTGTGATGTTAGAAGTCAGGATAATAGCAACCTATTATCCTGTGTAGGGGAACGTGAGGACTGGAAAGAAATACAAGATGGAGGGTATGACTTCTGGGTGCTATTTCCATTCTGTTTCTCTATCTGGGCGTTAGTTACAATGATGTGTTTACTGTAAGAATTCATCAAATTATATACTTCATGATTTGTGCATTTCTCTGTAGGTGCATTACACTTTAGTAAGCATGTTACATAAGCCATGGATATGGAATAATTTGGGTAGAGAATTTTATTGTCTCCCGAGATAAGTAGAGATATGGCTGTCTCTCTGAAACTGAGGCTTGGAATGAAATGCTCAAGGACTGTCCTGTGAGAATCACTCATCTCGGACTGGCACAACTCTAGGGCAGTAACAACTATAATTCCATCCTATTTTCATTCTAAACACCAAGATAACAGTGGTATCTGTTGAAAAATTATACTAGGACAACTATTAAGATGTACAATTATCCAATAGAAATGCTCTGCGATGATTTTGATTGAGGTTTTCTGTTTCTGTAAGCATTTAAGGCAGCTACTCACTCTGACTGATTTTCCTACTGTTGAGTTTGGCAGGATGCCGTATGTAATTAGACCCGTGAGTACTTATTGAGGATAATGATAAATGCTTTGTGAACTGTGTTTTTTCTCCCATTTTCTTTTTTTCTTTTAAAGGTGTGGGGTACAATTCAGGGTTAAGTACATAAGTGGTCATTGTACAGGTAAAGTGTGGGCCTCTCTTTGGTCCCCACTTCACCTGATTTGAGATCAGGTACTCTTATTGATGTTATGTGTCTCACTCCAGCATTGTCCCCCTACTGCCAATCCCTTTCTTGTAGTATTATGATAAATGTCCAGGGTCCACTTATGAGTAAGTACATGTGGTACTCAGATCTTTGTTTCTATGAGAGATCACTGAGCATTATAGACTCTAATGGTCATATGTTCCTTTCCTCGTGTTTGTTGTTATTGTTTGCAATTTTATGCAGATTTCAGAGGACTTCCTTATAGAAAACCACCACTTAACAAAATGGTCAATGCCACCTGTAGAAATAATTTTACTAGAATAAAACATATCTATCACATGCCTGAATTAAATGAGATATTTAAAAATACATTTAATAATAGCTTCCAATCCTGGATCTGCCATTTATTAGCTATGTGTCTGTGGGCCATTTACTGAACCATTTCAGCTTGTATTTTCCTCAATGATCTTGCCCACATAGAGTTGTGAGAATTAAGTGAAATCACATGTAATTAATGTAGAACACTTAGCACAGGATCTGCATCCAAAAACTTAACTCCTCAATCTTGTTGTTATTAGCTTAACTACCACATTATTGTGGATGATGAAACTGATCAATTATTCAGAAATAGTTTGAAACCAAAATTAACATCTGAATGGGGGAAAATTGGTAGAAACAACACAAACTTAAAAAATCATTTTAAAAACTTAGCATTGAAAAAATTGTACATATTAATCAATTATTTTGTTGACTTTGACAAGATCACCTCTCCAAAGTACTAATGGTAAATAAAAAATAAAAATGAAATAAAATAAAATTCTGCCCAACTCATGAAAGATCAGTTTTGGAAGGGAACAGATTTTGAGAATTACTGACTGGTTTATTCATTTTTTTCCCCTTACTCTCTTATAGGAGCCAGGTTTAAAGAATAAAATGTTCTCTTTCTTGTTTTTTTTTACTTATTGAGTCAAAGTCACGCAGGCTGGAGTGCACTGCAGTCTTGACCTGCTGGGCTCTGGCGATCCTTCCACCTCAGCCTCCCGAGTCGCTGGGACAACAGGTGTGTGCCACTATGCCTGGCTAATTTTTTCTTTTTTTCTTTTTTCTTTTTTTTTATAGAGGTGAGGTCTTGCCAAGTTGCCCAGGCTAGTTTCGAACCACTGTGCTCAGTCAATCCTCTCACCTTCGCCTCCCAAATTGCTGGGATTACAGGTGTGAGCCACAACGCCCAGCCCAAAATGTTCTTATCTGTTTTCTTCCTAACACTTTAAATATTGACACCTTAATATTTTCCCACTTCCTTCTCCCTTCTCTCAAGTGGCAATGGATGTGAATTAGTAAGAACAGTGAAATTGAGATCTGAATCTTGGTACTATATGTGTTAATTGGGTAAACTTAGCAAGTCGCTTAATCTCTTAACTTTTTTTTTGCTATATATTTGATAAACTTCATTAATGATCATTGTAAGGTAAAAATTGCATGCTTCTAAGCCTAGAAAGCTCTCATGCTCGTAAGGTAGAATAAGATATTTGAAGAGTCAACCAATGTGTTTTTGTTTGTGGTACTTTCTCCTCGATCCTGTCTGATTGCTCATTTGATCAGTCATATTATTGATTCAAGTAAGGTCTGAGAGAGCCTAAATGCAGAGAGAAAGAGGCAATTTGTGGCTTGTGAGTTTCAAAATAGATGTTTTGAAACTCAATGCAGAGATAATAGCTTGAGGGGGAAAAAAAGAACATTTGAGCTTTAACAGCTTAGGATTCTAGACACAAAAAACAGGTTTGGAAGAGTGCATGGATAGTCAGAGCCAGTTTCTCCTTCTGCTTTTATGCCTGGTCTCCAATACTGGGAACTGAAAGGTGAAGAGAAGCGAGAGGGAAGAAGCAACAGAAATAGAAATTAATGAACCTTTGACACTTTAACCTGTTGTGTGGCCCCCAGGCCAACTTCCAAAGTGTGGGGAGCATTATGGAAATCTCTGATGAGCTTGAAAAACTCAGGCCTCAAACTCATGAGAGCATCTGTGTCGTGTTGACATAGATGAACTGAGAATATCTATGTCTTGTTTTTAAGATAGAGCTCTAGAAACCAATAATGTTATAGAGCTCCCTGGCACTCAGCATGAGGAATGAACAATAGAATAGAAAAGGCCTTGCAGTATCCATGTGTCCATTGTGGATGTGGAAAGTTGCCAAGAGGCTGAGAGAACTAAACCAAGAGTTATCTCAGGTCTTGTGATCAGAGTCAAGCACACCGCACAGTAAACGTAAGACAGCCAAGACTCCAGTGTGGACATATGATGCTGATATCCTGATGACCAAGGACCAGATCCCCATTGCTCTACATGTCTTGACGTTCAGATACCCTTCAGGATTTAACCATGATTGTGGGGAAAGGGAGAAGAGACCTAAGACTGACAATGTAAACCCCTAAACAGTTGAGGATTGCCTAGTGTGGGGAGTAAATTTCCACCATCCGGCAGAGTTGGGACACCTGAAAAAGTTCTTTATACATTTAGAAAAATAGACACATTTTTTACCCGCATGAGCTTGAGGCCTGAGAATTTGGGCTCACCTACATTGTTTTTTCTTGAATATGAAGAGATATGTGGGACTTCTACTCAGCTCCTTGTAGAATTCCTACAAATGAAACTAATTTTTCTACTTGCAGTTTTTATGAGTATTGGAAAGAGCATTGGAGACTTTCACTGACGTTCCTAGTAAAAATGCTTTCTCTTTGTGGTTGCTAGAGGCAGACAAATCTTCCCACTGGGTTACTCCTCTCAAAGCAAACAAATCCATCCACCAGGTTACTCTTCTCAAGTCCTCACCCCCACGTCAACATATGTGTGTTTGTCAGTGGACTCACCTGTTTCTGTAGACAACCTTGTTCGAGTACTTCTTTTCTCAAAAATCATGCCTAAGGACTTCCCTTGCAATAAAGGCAAATACTGTAAATCAAGAAAAATAACAGAATTAAATTGCAAAGTATATTTTATACCTAATACCGAGGATTACATTTTACAACTTATCATTTACATTATTAGAAAATAAGTAGTTCAAAATATTGTTTAAAAAGTGAATTTAAAGTGTTTTTTAAATGTTCTATACAAATGGGAGAAAGGAACAGTAACCCCCACAGCTTACTGACATTTAATTAGAAAACAGTATTAATTGTTCTGAGATCAATCAGTGCACTTGTTCCAAAATATATTAATATTTCATACTGGAACCACCTTCTTGCTTAACTGCATTGAAATCTCCTTTCAGTTTTCAATGACCTTGAAGATGTTTGGTTTAGAGGTGTTTTCTGAGCTAGGATCACGCTACTCTATTACAACATGGGGCACTGAGACTCCTACTTAGGTCAATGATGAAGCCCCAGCGTTTTGGTTACACCTGCATTGTGCATCCTTAAGAGAATACAAAGACTGTTTCTCGAAGCTGTTTGAAAACAATCTGGAGAGCTTGGGTGTTGGGTGGGGTTCTTCCTCCTTCCTCTTTTGCAGATGAACTTTCCGATAGAATGAATTCTGGAACAAATACATTCTTTCCAGCTAACCTTCCTCATCCACAAAGTGTGAAGAACAAAGGCCTGGATTTCGGAATCCCTTTTCTCCTCATTTCAGGTGTTTTATAGGAATACCAAACCACAGCAATTGAAGTCACTTCTGTCCTCAGTTTTTTCTTAGGAGCTTGGAGAGCTAGCCAACTAGATGAGAAAATCAACGCTGTGACAAACTTTCTCAACCTGAAACCAATTCTTTAAATAAGCTTGAAACAGGAAAAAATGCTTTCACAGTAAAGCAGTCTAGATGAAGCTACTGCATTAATTAAGCGTGTTTCAAACATAATTGCTCAAAATGCAGAATAATGCTTAAGTTAAGAACCATATTCCATCTCTTTTTTTTTTTTTTTTTTGAGTTGGAGTCTCACTCAGTCGCCCAGACTGGAGTGCAGTGGCCACTCCCGGCCACCGCAGCCTCGACCCGCTGGGCTCCGGCTATCCTTCCGCCTTAGCCTTCCAGTAGCTGGAACTACAGCCGCGCTACCACGCCCGGCTAATTTTTTTATTTATTGTAGAGATGAAGTCTCACCTGCCCAGGCGGGTCTTGAACCCGCGGACTCAGGCAATCCACTCACCTCAGCCTCCCAAAGCTCTGGGATTACAGGCTGAGCCGCTGAGCCCGGCTACCATCTCTTCTTCTACTTGGCTACCATTTATTTGTTTCTTTGCTAATCTAAATGTTTTTAAGACACTAACTATCACATCATTGTGAATTTTTGACATTATCCTAAATGATCTGATATGCATCTGAGATTGAAATTTGTTGCTAGAAAAAAAAGTGTCATCTTTATTTTTTTAACTTGATAGAAAATACATAGAGAAAAGAAAGGAGGTATAAAAATAAAATCTTTCCAGACAAATGATTTCTTAGGTTCTGCTCCAGTTAAAAATGAATTTCAGCATTCCACATGAAAGAAGTGCAAGGAATTGTCATTGAATAACTGATTTTTATGCGTTTTTATATGTCTGTTCACTCAGTGATAATCAATTACCTTGACTGTGAGGTTTCGTTACTTAGCTACTGTTTAGGAATTTTAATGTATTTTCTTTTTCCTCTTTCTTTGGGAAGGCTGCCTTGGAAAAGGCTGATTGATAATAATGGAAGGTAAGAAGAAAATATTACATACCTCTCCTTTCTGTTTTATCCTAAATTTCAGATCTGCTGATAGCCATAGCATGTATTTAATTTCTTCTCCTGTAAAGTTCTTTAGAGTGAGGAGGTCACGACCCTTTAGTTGTACTTTATTTTGTAGTGGTTGCCCACACCTACAAAAAAGAAAAAAAAGAAGAAGAAATATGTACTTAAGAAAATAAAAACATGTACTATGATGATTCGTTATTTTATTCTTGAAACAAAATATGGCAAATCACATGTAATCTCATGTGTCTTTGCAAAGTGTCTCTGCATTAAAATTGATATGGCTGTAGTTTACATTTTAGATATCCAGTAGTTTGAATGTTTGAGAGAAAAAAGAATTTGTGGAAAGAAATTGGATTCTTATTTACTTGAAATAACCATACGAGTGGCTTTGCTACTTACTAGTCATGCAACCATAGGCAAGTTACTTAACCTCTCTCTGCACCTAAATTTCTCACCTAGAAAATAAGTATAATAATCTTATAGGCTTGTTGTGAGGATGAAATGTTTTAATACATGCAAAGCAGATATTATCTGGCATATAATAAGCATTTAATAGCTTGTAGCTATTATTATTGAAATCATTAGACTATTCAAGCAGAACATGTAATGCATAATATAAAACAATTTTATTTTTTCTCCTTACTGCCCTTAAATCTGTTCTTGGAGACTTTGTTTTTTGTCCCTGGATGAAAATACAATGGGCTCTGTAGCTTTTCTAGTAATTTTTTGAAAAATAAAAAAAAATCTTATTTTACAACCTCAAAGAGTCTCAGCAAAATATCATGTAATAATAATAGAACAACAATAATGGTAAAAAAAAACACTAAAACATTTACTGCTAGTTAACATCAAGCTGGCTTTCTCTGGGGGGGTGGGGAAGGGGCCATGAAGTATTTTCTTCCCTTCAGTTCCACTAAGTAAAGCTAAGGGAAAGTGAGGTGTTAAGAGCCAGTAAGTTTGGTTCTGTTCTAGCAATCTAACATTGGGATAGGTGTTTGAGGTTGACTGTTTCTCTTATAGCGTGCTTTCAGGGGGTCCTTTGGAGAATCCCTTTATCACTAGGAATCTCTCACCACAGACCTTGATACAGACAATTACATTTCCTCTGGAATCCAAGGGAATAAATCCAGCCTCTTTTTGCTGAGATTTCCCACTTCTCCAGGAAGTCTCTTGGTCATGGTCTGAAATAATACCATACTAGGTGTCTTTCTCATTCCATATTGGTTCATGGGAAGCTCTCCAAATTCTTTGCACTAATAAGACTCAGGTCCATTCTAGTATAAATGTCTCTTTTGTTCTGTCATCACACCCCATCAACAAGGGTCCCTGCATAATGAAAATTTGTATACCTAATCCTGAATTGTACCCCACATCTTTATAATAAAAAAAAATTTTAAATAACAGCTAGCTAGCTAGTCCTTCTTTCTTTAGATTTCTCAGGTATAAGCCTGACAGTTTACTGTATCATCATGCTCTTCTATTGAAGATATTGGTCCCATTTGAGTCATTTCCCTAGGCTTGATGTGAGGGAAGAGTCCGCCCTTCATGGGGAAAGGGCATATTAAGCACAGTAGAAACATTCTCCAAAACTTCTCTCCTAATCGCCAAGCCTTCTCTTGGTTTCTGCAACACGTTTTACACACTGAAGGTGGTAACCAAGGGGTTGCAAAACTTATTCTTGTCTATCTCCTTTACAAGTCTATTTTTAACGGTCTGGCATCATCTCATTATAGAATGAAGGAAGAATCAGTACATATTGGGCCTGGGCAGAGACTAAGACAGAAAAAGACCTATTTTAACATTTGTTATATTGTGATGACAATAATTGTTACTTGAAATAATCAGTCTATAAAGCGGACAACACTTATTCTTTAATTATTCCCAGTACTATCTGTGTTTAACAATAATTAGTATTCTCTAGCATTAGAAATTATAAATGGCCAAGGACAAATTGTGGTTGACTACATGTACTAAACATTAATTTTACTAGGAGTAAAATAATTTCACAAAATGATCATGCTTGAATTTTAAGGGGAGAGTTTGTGCTACTTGGAATGAAGAGTAAATCCTCTTTTGGGATTTACATAGGGCTTTTTGCAATGATGACAAGATCGTAGGTAGGAAAATCATAAATTCACTCAATTTGTTGTTTCTGCTGCATGGTGCCAAACAACTTAGACAGATAAATATTTTACTATATATCTAACTTTCTGGAATGGTTGATTGGTTCATTTGATGCTCAATAGGTGAATAGAATTTTTTCAGTAGACATTTTTTGAGGTTGAGCCTTTCAGAGATTTTCGCTAGTAAGGAAGAGAGATTCCACAAGGATTGAGAATTTCTGTGTTGGTTGGCTAATTGTCTGATTGATTAATTTAAGAAATTAATGACATATTCAACTATAAATTGCTGTTTTCAGCTTATATGTAGAACAAAATTTTGGTCAGCACTCTTATTTCAAAAATGTATTATTAGCCAGGCTCGGTGGCTCAGCCTGTAATCCCAGAATTTTGAGAGGCTGAGGTGAGTGGATTGCCTGAGCCCGCAGGTTCGTGACCCGCCTGGGCAACTTGGTGAGACCTCATCTCTACAACAAATAAAAAATCAGCCGGGTGTGGTAGCGCGCGCCTGTAGTTCCAGCTACTTGGAAGGCTGAGGCGGAAGGATCACTGGAGCCCAGCAGGTCAAGACTCCAACTCAAAAAACAAAACAAAATAAAACAACAACGAAAAAATGTATTATTATCTTTAACTTTTAAAAAACATATGTGAATCATAAAATCTCCAAATGGAAATTTATTTAAAGCATGGTTCTCCATTTTTTATTACATACCCAACAGGAAAAAAATTTTGAAGATGGATCTATAAAGTATATTTACTTATATGTGTGCTACTATATTAATAGATTATGGATATAATGAAACAAAATAAAAATTAAAAGGCTTAAATGAAAAAGAACCAACTATTTTAAAAATAAATTTGTCAACAAAAACATTTTGATGGCCAAAGAAGTTTCTAGAACAGTTCTACAATTTTTTTCTTCTGTTGGAACCTTAGTAAAAAGCTTACATGCAATATACCATGTAATAAATCTTCACATGTATTTCATGATTCTAAATTTTTTTAAATTAGAAAATATAGTTGGCTGGGCTTGGTGGCTCAGCCTGTAATCCCAGCACTTTGGGAGGCCAAGGGGAGTGGATTGCCTGAGGCTGTGGGTTCGAGACTCACCCAGGCAACTTGGTGAGACCTCATCTCTACAATAAAACAAAAATTAGCTAGGTGTGGTAGCACATGCCTGTAGTTCTGGCTATTTGGAAGGCTGAGATGGAAGGATCACCTGAGCCTAGCAGGTCGAGGCTGCGGTGGCTGGGAGGTGCCACTGCACTCCAGCCTGGATGACAGAGTGAGACTTCAACTCAAAAAAAAAAAAAAAAAAAAAATATATATATATGTATATATAGTTTATTTAGAAATAAATTAGAGAGAGAGAGAAAGAGGAGATTCACCTCCCCAAGGGAGGGGAGAGGGCCAAAGCTTAAGAAAACTTGGTCTGGCCAAAGCTCAAAGAACACATGGCCACACCATAGCTTAGTATGGCAATGGCCTATTCTAAAATTAAAAAAAAACTTACAAAACTGTGTCCAAGATCTCAATCATCATAGTAAGCCATTTGATAACTTTGGAGGCATAATATTTAGGCAGGAAATTTGTATTTACATATAAATTTTGGTTACTCATTTGGTTCTGCTAATACCAATTAGTGATATTAAGCAGTACTTGGAATATACAAGTACTGATACTGTCGAGAAGCAAACATTTTGACTGATATTTATGCATTTTTCAGGGTCAATTGGAGCCTTTTGGAGATTTTAAAACAGGTTTTGCATATCTGGTCTGAAATGGAGGTATGACAGCTTAATCTTTCCCCATTCATATTTAGGGCAGTTTTTAAAATAGTTTTTTTCTTCTGGAATAAGATCCAAGCAACATAAAATTACAGAAGATAAACTCTCTTGACTCCATGTCTTATAACAACAAATTAATATTCCATGGTTTAAGACTTTCTCTAATATTATTTTAAAGAGAAAAATACTTTGCTGGAAATCCCCCCTCTTTCTTGTTTCAAGGAATTTGGGAAACATCACTATAACTGTTGAGTTCATATCCATCAACAACAGGAAAAACAATTCCTGAGCTAACTTTGAGGCCTTGGTTTTTGCCTATAGCTGAAGCTCAGACTCCTGATTATTTTGGAGCCCACGAAAGCTGAGTCTCCAAACCGCTATACTTAAGAGATTCAATATCCTCCTCCATTCTCAGCCCCTGCAGGATTTTTCTATATCCTTTTCCTTCTGAATGTTCACAGGACTACATACTTTATTTAAGAGAATATAATAGATCTTAGAATTGTGTTGTTCTTGTTGAGAAATAGAATTGGAAATGAAAATTTTGCAAGGAGCTAAACTTTTTCTCCCCAGTTTCTGTAAAAGGAAACAGGAAAGAGAAGGACCAATACCTTTTACTACTTCAAAAACGTCAACTTCTAGTTTGTATTACTCTCAGTAGAAGACAGATTGGGAGAAGTAAAAAGTCCCTGGGACTTCCTCAAATTTGTCTTTATACACTTAACGTTTCTAAGTTGGAAGTGGAAGTAAGCTCGGATTTAGGGTTGAGGTTAATGTTCTGCTGTTGGGATTACATTGTGAGATACTGCTGTTTCTATTTCTCCACTGACAAGACTTGAGAATAAAAAATAGAAAGAACACACAAATATCCTGCTTGAATCTTTCCTTTTTGTCAATATCATTGATTTTCAAATTTATATAGACTAGAAACTTTATTTCAATTTCTTTTCCTTTGTCGACAAGTGATCAGAAGAATCCCTCTTTGTGCTCTAGACTTTCTATGGCAGTCGCTGATAATGTCTTTGCTTTTGTTGTCTTCGCTCTTATTGTACCTCCAATAAATGCTTTTTTCTTGTTTCCTTTTGTGTTTTTTTGTTGTTTGTTTTGCAGTAAGGACACTTAACATGAGATTTGCCCTCCTAACAATTTTTGAAATGCACAATGCCATATTGTTAACAATAAGTACTATGTTGTACATCAGATCTCTGGAACTTATTC